TAACCATTAAGACACAGAGGCTTTCCTGTGATGTATATACCGACAAAACAGAGGTTAAAAAGATGTAGCTAGAGAGAAAAGAGGTGCATGTTTGTATGGAAATATAGAGAAAATAGAGGTTTGTTTTTGTATGTAAACATGGAAATAGAGGTTTACGGATGTACATATGGACATATAGAGAAAATGGAGGTTGGTTGTCCTTTGTAAATATACACAACATAGAGGTTTCGCTTTACCAATAGAGAACAAATCTTGGTTTTCCTACGTCAAAATAGATAAAATATTGATAATGGTTTCTTACGGTAATGTGGATACAATAAAGGTTTCCCATAACTCCCCGCCCCCGCCCCCGCCCGAACCCCCCACCACCCACACAACCCCCACCACCCCCCCCCCCCCAACAAAAAAAAGAAGAGAAAAAGAAATATAAAAAAAACAAAACAATGCCAAAACAACAACAACAAAGAACAAATGTCCACCTGATAACTTAAGGTGCTTTAAGTTTCGGCGCTGGGGCCCCTGGCTTCGACATTAGTAGAGGCCCCATGAGTGCACAGATTGACGACGGACAGATGAGGTAGGTAGGCCGTTGGGTTTCGGGTTTAGGGTTTAGGGTTTAGGGTTAGGGTTTAGGGTTTAGGGTTTCGGGTTTAGGGTTTAGGGTTCAGGGTTTGGTGGTTAGGGGCTCTGCTACTGCAATCTCAAGCGACATGCCCGTATATGAGCCCTGAAACCACCTCAAGTCATGTTCAGGATACGTACGCACGGATCTTTTGATACAATCTCCCGTAAACCCTAACCCGAAAGAAACCCTAAACCCTGAACCCCAAACCCCAAATCCTAACCACTAAACCCCAAACCCCAAGCCCTAAACCCTAAACCCTAAACCCAGCACTGGGGTGTGTCTTGTGTCTGAGTGGGGGCTGTGCATCGCAGCCTCATCAACCTTGTTTGCATGTGGCATCTGTTTTTCGGGATCAGGGTTTAGGGTTTAGGGTTTGGGGTTCAGGGTTTAGGGTTTAAGGTTCAGGGTCTAGGGTTTGGGGTTCAGGGTTTCGGGTTTACGGTTTAGGGTGCTGCGTCCGAACTGACTGGCAGGTCTCAGTTGAGTGGCTCAGGGCTTTCGGAAATTTTTGTTTTTGCTCTTCTTCCGGCTGGTTCTCAGTAGGGAATGAGGGAATGAGAGCCCTAGATATAATCCCTTAAAGGGTGTATATAGGGCCCTCATTCCCTCATTCCCTACTAAGCGGGTCTTGTTTTGCCATGCTTTTCTCACGCGGTTTCCCTTTCAGCAAGCCTCCTCTCCTTTGTCTGATACTTTTGCCCTCTTCTTCCCCGTCTTTCCTTCGTCATCGTTTATCAAGGGGGAATGACACCCTGAACCCTACATCCTAACCCCTAAACCCTAAATGCTAAACCCTAAACACCCTAAACCCTAAACTGCCCTAGACCCTCAAGCCTAAACCCCGCAGAGTTGAGGACTTGAGGATTCAGGTTTTATCCGGTTCCAAGCCACGCTTGCAACATGACGTGCAGGCTCAGATTTGTTTTTGAGGGTTTAGGTTTAGGGTCTGTATGGTTTTAGTACACACAACCCAAGCAGCCCTCAGAGTCCACTAATTTGGGCCGTGCCTGGGATAGTTAACATTGAACCTTACTCCCAAGTGTGCGCGGGGGGGGGGGGGTTCGATAAGGTGGGGTGCTACCCTAAACCCTAAACCCTAAACCCTAAGCCCTAAACCCTAAACCCTAAACCCTAAACCCTAAACCCGAAACCCTAAACCCTAAACCCTAAACCCGAAACCCTAAACCCTAAACCCTAAACCCTAAACCCTAGTACAGGGTCACATGAGGCGCGTCTTTCCGCCGGCTCCTGAGGGATCTCGCAAGATTATCGCCGGGCGGCCCGGGCGGGATTGGGCTTTGGCGCTTAGGGTTTGGGGTTCAGGGTTTCAGGGTTTCGGGTTTAGGGTTTGGGGTTTAGGGGTTTAGGGTTTAGGGATCTAGGGATTTAGGGTTTAGGGGTTAGGGGTTTAGGGCTTCGGTCTAAACCCGAAAAACGCCACTGGTTTGCGGAGGGTCTGCTCTGAACGAACCCTTTGGGTTTCTTGGTTTAAAATTTTGTTTAGGGGCTTCCTTGGCAGCCCGGCGCCGTCTTCCCTTTTCGGTGTAATTTTCCCTTATACAACTGTTAACCCGAAAAAGGGTACCCTTGTTATAGGCTCCACCGTGCTGTTCACGCGCGCCGTGCACATGCCGACCACATCGGTATTTTCGGTGTTTCGTGGACATTTCAGCCGAAAATGTTACGCCTGTCGTGTTATTCGGGGGGTGGTGGCGGCGCGGGCGTGGAGGCATTGAATGCATCGGTATTTATGGTATTTCCATCGGTATTTATGGTATTTCCAGGACTTTGCAGTCGAAAACGTCGCGCCTGCCGTTGTTTTCGCAGAGCATCCATGTCCGCACGATGATAACGTCCGTGTTGCCAGAGCATCCATGTCCGCGCGATGATAACGTCCGTGTTACCAGAGCATCCATGTCCTACGACGATAACGTCCAGTTACCAGAGCATCCATGTCCGCACGATGATAACGTCCGTGTTACCAGAGCATCCATGTCCGCACGATGATACCGTCCGTGTTACCAGAGCATCCATGTCCGCACGATGATAACGTCCGTGTTACCAGAGCATCCATGTCCGCACGATGATAACATCCGTGTTACCAGAGCATCCATGTCCGCACGATGATAACGTCCGTATTACCAGAGCATCCATGTCCGCACGATGATAACGTCCGTGTTGCCAGAGCATCCATGTCCGCACGATGATGACGTCCGTTTTGCCAGAGCATCCCTGTCCGCACGATGATAACGTCCGTGTTGCCGAACAGCTTTACTTAACCGCCTCCATGTCTCCGAAACCCAAGCCGCAGCGTGTTTCCAGCAAAAATCTGATGGTTTCGGTGCATCGACAGTCCTGACTTATCAAAGTCGCAACGCCTCAAAGTACTGCGCCTGCCATGTAAAACTAATGTCTCTCCTGCTTCATGCTTGCTCCGGCGCGCGTGAACAGCACGGTGGAGCGTTAATACATGGTTCCTGGTCTAGCAAGTTTCCGAATCTGGCGCACCTTATTGGGGTCCTGATTTCAAGGGAATCCTACTATTTGGGGGACTATATTTCAACCCTGAGCCCTAAGACCTAACCCCCCTAAACCCCTAACCCCTACAACCTGAGCCCTAAACCCTAAACCCCTAAAACCCTAAACCCGACAGCCTACTTGCAGGTACCCGTGACCCTTCCAAGCCGAAGACATTCGGGCCAAATCTTAGGGCTTGCGGGCTTCAGGTTTTGGTTATTATGTGGGCTCAGGGTTTCAGGGTTTTAGGGCTTTAGGGTTCTTGGGTTTTAGGGTTTTTGCGTTTTAGGGCTTTAAGGCTTTAGGGTTTTAGGTTTTTAGGGTTTTAAGGCTTTAGGGTTTTAGGGTTTTAGGGTTTTTAGGGTTTTAGGGTTTTAGGGCTTTAAGGCTTCAGGGCTTTAGGGTTTCAGGGTTTTTAGGGTTATAGGGTTTTAGGGTTAGCATAAGCCCCTAAACACATAGAACCCTACAGCCACCACAAGGTTGCCACAAACATCGCCGAGACCTCCTTGACGATTGATGGGGTCGTTTACGCCCGGATCCCAAGGCCGCAATTTCTGGCAGCATTGGGCTTTCTGTGCCTATAGACCCTAAACCGTAAAACCCCCGAGTGCCGCCCTGCACTTACGTTCCGTCTTTGGTCTGTTTCCTTAGATCTCCAAGTGTCTGCAAGTGCAAGATGGTGGTTTCACGCTATCATCAGGCCGGACTCCACCACAATCAGTCGCTGGCCCAAACCCGGCTTCGGGCAAAAAGGGTTTGGGGCTTCGGTTTGGGGGGGTTGCTCGAGGGTTTCCAAGACTTGTGGGCCAGCTGTGGTAGCCCTAAACCCATACTACCCCCCCATCATTAAGGCTATTCTTGGATAGTTAAGCCTCATGAAGGTTATTGAAAAGGGGGAGCCTAAGCAAGGGGTGGTAGCATACTTCAGGGGAGTAGTAAGACCTTAAAGCCCCAAACCCCGAACCCCCTAAAGCTCTGAAACCAAGACCCTAAACCCCCTAAAACCCTTAAGAAGTCCGAAGACCCTAAGAAACCCTAAGACTCTCAAACCCTAGGGGAACCCATGAGAGCTTCCAGCAAGGTCGTGGACCCGGGACTCTTCAAGCAGATGTCCGGCGCCTGGTGCAGAGAGATTCCTCAGCCCCTAGACCCTAAACCCCAAACCCCAAACCCCAAAGCCCAAACCCCAAACCCCAAACCCCAAACCCCAAACCCCAAACCCCAAACCCTAAACCCTAAACCCTAAACCCTAAACCCTCAGCCCTAAACCCCGCAACCCTAAACCCCAGAACTCTAAACCCCGAAAGCCTAAACCCCGAAAGCCTAAACCCTCAATCGGCTTCCACACTGGCAAGGCACGCTTCTTGCAGGCTACTTGGAGGGGTTTAGGGTTTAGGGTTTAGGGTTTAGGGTTTAGGGTTTAGGGTTTAGGGTTTAGGGTTTAGGTTCATGGTACTTCTTAACAAATTAGAACTGTACTTATAGCCCACTTATAAGCCCGTTAAGTGCCCTGAGATGGTTAGAAGTACAGCTAATAAGTACAGTGATAACCCACATATAACAAGCCCCTTAAGTACCCTAACAGGGTTATCACTTAGTTATCAGTACAGTTAGAATTGGTTAAGAAGTACCATGAGCCTCCAAGTAGAGAGAGAGAGGGAGTCTACCGGCTGCCATTGCGACGCCCGTTGTCCTCGTGCTCGACGCTCTAGCAACCTCACGTCTGACTGGCACGTCCCTGTAGAATTCGTGGCCCGAAACCCTAAACCCTAAACCCTAAGCCCTAAACCCTAAACCCTAAACCCTAAACCCTAAACCCTAAACCCTAAACCCTAAACCCTAAACCCTAAACCCTAAACCCTAAACCCTAAACCCTAAACCCTAAACCCTAAACCCTGGTTTGTTAAGGAACTTTTAGGGCATCCTTTCCGCTTGAGGCTCTACAACCCGCGAACGCATGTGGAGTCGCTGCTCCTGGGGCCAAGATTTCTCCACGGGGTTTCGGGCGGTTCTTTAATCTAAGGCTTTCTGTCCTATCCTAAACCCTAAACCCTTTTAGTGGTCTGGGGTCTCCAGTTGTTTCTCTGGGCTCTTTTAGGCTTAAAGGGTGCCTAGGCCCTAGCAGCCCTCCGAAGAACCCAAACACTAAACCCCAAACCCCAAACCCCAAACCCCAAACCCCAAACCCCAAACCCCAAACCCCAAACCCCAAACCCCAAACCCCAAACCCTAGACCTCAAATAAAGCCCCTAAAAGCTAAGCTGAGCCGGGCTCGGCCTAAGATCCAAACCAAACCCTTAACCTCCTAATGCGAACCCTGCACACCGTCTAACCCCCCCCAAACTTGAAACCTAAACCCTGAATCCCTAAACCCTAAACCCTAAACCCTGGCCCCTGAACCCTCAACCCTAAACCCTAAACCTCGTAGCTATTGTTCCGTGACTTATGCGCAACATTTCTAAGGGCTGAGGGATGCTTCGTGGCCTAGGGGTTTCCATGCGCATATATACTGGGGTTCAGGGTGGAGGGTCGAACTTGAACCCTAAACCCTAAACCCTAAGTCCTAACCCCTAAAACTTAAACCCTAAACCCTACACCCTAAACCCTACACCCTAAACCCTAAACCCTAAACCCTAAACCCTAAACCCTAAACTCTAAACCCTACACCCTAAACCCTAAACCCTAAACCCTAAGCCCTAAACCCTAAACCCTAAACCCTGAACCCTAAACCCTGTCGACGCAGCGATTTCGGCCCCCAGCGCATCCCCCGAAGTCGCCCGCCTTGGCCCCTTGCCCGCGCTCGTAGACACTTGGCTTTCTTCTGGCTGGCTCTGAGGGTTTAGGGTTTAGGGTTTAGGGTTTAGGGTTTAGGGTTTAGGATTTTTGAAGCAACTACAAAAAGGAGCCTAAAAGTTAAACTTTCAGGAGGGGTTCAGAAGTCAGCCAAGGACATGTCGGCCCCTTCGCAGATCAAGATGGACTCCATTGACGAGTCTAAGGTGGGAAGGGGGTCTGAGGTTGAGGGCCTCGAAACCCTAAACCCTAAACCCTAAACCCCAAACCCTTAAACCCTAAACCCTAAAACCCTAAAACCCTAAACCCTAAAACCCTAAGAAACCCTAAAACCCTGAACCCTAAACCCTGAAACCTTAAACCCTAACACTCATGGGCGCCACTTCCAAGCTGCACGCGCGCCCCGTGTCCAGGGTGCACGCGCCGTCTGTGTCCTAGGTGCACGCACAACGTTGGAGACCCTAAACCCCAAACCCCAAACCCTAAACCCTAAACCCTAAACCCTCAAGCCTAAAGCCTAAAGCCGAAAGCCTAAACCCTTAAACCCTTAAACCCTTAAACCCTTAAACCCTTAAACCCTTAAACCCTTAAACCCTTAAACCCTTAAACCCTTAAACCCTTAAACCCTTAAACCCTTAAACCCTTAAACCCTGAAACCCTGAAACCCTTAGACCCTAAGCCAAGCCCTAAGAAACCACTAAACCCTAAACCCTAGACCCTAAAGCCTAAAGCCTAAACCCGAAACCCTAAACCCTAAACCCTAAACCCTAAACCCTAAAGCCCTAAGCCCTAAAGCCTAAAGCCTACAGCCTACAGCCTAAGCCCTAAAGCCTAAACCCTAAACCCTAAACCCTAAACGAGTCCGAAAGCTTCGAACTACGTGCTAAAAGCCAATGAAAACAAAACGTGTGTGCGGGCTGGACGTGGGAAACGCTGTGGGCACCTTGGACGCGGACATGCGTGCGCCTTGGAGGGGCTGGCCAATTTTAAGGGGTCTCAGGAGGAAAGCGCAGCGTAAGAGTAAGAGAGAAATCCTAAACCCTGAACTGCCCGAAACCCCAAACGCCCTAAACCCCAAAGCCTGGACCCCTCGAGTGGAGACTTGGTTTGGGGGTTAGTTTGGAGCTTCGCGGTTAGGGTTTCAGGCACGGTTGTGGTTTTTTAATGTTTAGGGTTTAAAGGCGGCTCTTGGGGCATGCATCTTTTTGTCCATAGAGACATCGAACTGTGAGAGGTTCACCATGTCCATGAGTTTTTTCCAAGACCGTGATAAGTCCATGCTAAGGTATTGTGGTTTTATTTCGTATGTTTGAGTCGCTAGGTGTATTATTTGGAAGTCTTTTTAATGAAATCGAAGACATGAAATTAAGAAGAGACAAGTGTCCCATTAAGGGGCGACGTGTTGGAGTGAAGTTTGCCATATTGGGTCACAGAGTTTCGTGTTCAGAGCCTTGCGAGTCTGAGTAGGAGCGATCAGGGTTGAGGACTCGGCTTTGGGGTTTATCAGGCTTGAGACTTTGCATGGCGTGCATCGTGGTGACGAGGACCCTAAATGAAACAGAAGCAACCTCTTCTGTTTAGCCTTTGGGAGTCAGGGAGACCTCCAGTTCCCTAAATTCTTTCGATAAATCCTAAAGAGCGGGACCCCCTCTTAGTTCAGCATTTAGCGAGTAATGAGATCTAAGTCTCGTGGC